CAAGATCAGTGATAGATATACAAAATTCTAGTTTCATTGTGGCATGATCTAACAAAATACGAACGATTTAAACCTAGCATTGGAAAACAAGAAAGTGAAGTGTATTGCAACTTGCACATATGCACAATTGTTTATTAGGCCTCCTTTGCTTTTTGGGAAGTTATTTATCGGAATAAGTGGATTTACCCATATTATTTTATTTCTTAGGTAAATAAGACAATGACCATTTAGTCATAAAATTATATCATTGAATGGGGTAATTTTGTCCCATCCAAGTGTTGACAATTTCCCCCCGGGTGAGAAAGCCAGTTACCCACTTGGGAGATGGGCATAAGTGATACCCAAGAAAAATAAATTTTCTGTGAACCCCACATAAATTTGAAAAAAGAACATAGGTATCTTAATTAGTGGGAACCAAAATCTCATTTACCAACTCCCCCCCCCACCCCCACCCCCACCCCCCTCAAAATCAAAACATCTAACACCCCCTTATATTTTCACACATACAAGCACCACTAAAGGCACCCAAAATAGAGTTGGAGGGAATGCCAAAAATGGGGTGGTAATATTGACTCCAACCCACCCGCTCACAAACCCACCCATTCCAAAGTGATTCATTATGGGTTGAGCGATCCATTAGGGTCAGGGAAAAGGGTTTGTGTGGGGTTGGGTCAAGAGTCCCAATGGGTCATAAAGGGTTAGGGTCAATTGGGTCAAGGGAAGTCTTGAATCAATTGAACGAAGTCCCTTTGTTTCAGATTCACTATTTCACTAGTTTCCATCACCAAGTCGCCATTGTTAGGGTTTCTCCGTCCCACCATTACCAATGTCATTTTTCTTGCCAGTATAGCAAGATTAGACAGATGATGCAACGATGGAGTTTGTCGCCTTTATTCTTGTTGCCTCTAACCAATGAAACTTTCTGTCTCTGTTCTTGCCGCCTCTTAGGGGTGCTCACGGTTCGATTAACCGTGTCATGTGCTTATTTTTAACCATCGGTTCAGTTCGTCGGTTTTTTGGTTTTTTATTATTTACAATGTATATTATAAAATATATAAATATATAATAAAAACTAGAAAATATATATAATATTATATTTTAACAAATAAATAATATATTATATATTATAAATATATATTTATATATAATGGATATTTATTAATTTAAAGTGTATAGAAAATATAAATATATATAATAATATACATAAATATACGTAAATATATGTATCCGATCAATTTGGTTAACCACTAGTTTTCTATTTTGGTTATCCGAAACCGAATTGACACCTTCAATTTTTTAAAATACCAAACTGAACCAGCCGATTGGATTAATTGAATTTTCGATTCGATTTTTCTTGCTCACCCCTACTGCCTTTGACCAATGGAGATTTCCATCAATGTTCTTATCACCTTTGAGTGGTCGAGCTTGTCATCTTTGTTTTCTTTCTTCCGCCCCCCTCAAATGCCGATAAGCCATTTTTATTTTATTTTTCCAGACATTGCTTATCATGGATCCTTGGGGGCATTTTCTATTTCGAGGGTTTGTTGCTGATGAATTACTTTGGGAAATACTTGGATCGATGGGGCTCTGATAATGTAAAGGTAGGAGCTCTACCTCCAAGCTTACCAATGCATCCAAGTTTTTCTCCAGGGGATCTGCTTGACCATAGCTTGATCCTGGTCTATGCAACACTTGTTAAACTTTTTGTAATTGATTAAGTATGAAAAAATATATTTTTAATTTTTCTTTTAATTTTTTTTGTTTAATTTGTTTTGGTTATTTGAAAGTTAGTTGTTTCAATTTACCATTTTTCTTTGAATTCTCTTGCAAATTTTATAATTTTCCCTAGATTTTGTTTTTGCATTTTAATGTTTTTATATAATTTCAGTATTTTAATAATTTATTTTTTTTCAACTTATACATTACCTGCATTTTTTTTCCTTTATTTACAGTTTTGTGCTTTTTCTATAACTTTTTCTTTTGTTTTTTATAATTCTTCAAATTTTCTACAATTATATTTTTCAATTTTTATATTTATCTAAATATATTCTTTTGATTTTTTTGTAACATTTTTTTTTGCATTTTCCTGCCATTTTATGTTTTTTACAATTTTTTTTTTGTTTTTATGTAAAATGGTACTTTCATTTAAATTTTTATTTTCATAGTTTGGGTCAAGATGGATCATATAAGTGAATAAGGATGGGTTAGGGTGGGTCAAGGGTCTGGATGGGTTGTGACCCACTAGCATCAATAAATATGGGTGGTCAATGGGTCAATAAATATGGGTTAGTACTCAACCCACACCCAACTTAACCCATTTATCACTACTAGCTAAAAAGGTGTTTACTGCTATATCTCCATACAAATAAACCAATGTAGAGGGTGGTCAAAAGTTTTAACTTGAACCTATCCAAACAAACACGATTTTAGTACGATAAAGTCAAAACACATATATGGTTGTACTTTCTTGGAAGGTTAGAAGTTAATACCAATATAATTTAATAGTAAAAGACTTATTAATAATAGTAGCTAAACTGAATGACTGAATGCTTTGCCTTTTAATGGATAATAGTAAAACAAATAATAAAGCATTCAACAGCACGAATAGTAACACAAAATCAAATTTCAATCATCAATGAGCTTATGGGTACTTAGCTTACCCAGGATACATGTTTTCTCAAAAATAATAAAAGAAAAGAAAAATTCTTTGCTTGTGGGTACTTAGCTTAGCTAATTTATAGTAAATTGTACTAATAATGTCTTGGCTTGACAAAGTCGGTTTGTTTGGTAACCTTGAAAAGTAATAAATGAAATTCCTTCAGATCCCAAACTACTTTGCTTGAATACAAAATTGAAAAGTCAGTTTAAATCTTGAATTGTCTGATTGTTTTCTTCTGCAAAGAAACCCACATTATCTTATTTCCATTATCCGCCCTGAGACAACAAGCTGGAATCTACATCCATTACTTGTTGGGAAGCCTCTTGTGGTAGTGGGGTATCCTTTATATAGTAATTGGATAAAGAGGAACCAATTCTCTCGATTCATGTATTGAGGATTAAGAAACTATTTTCAAAATTTAATGATTGAAACAACTGGTTATTAAAAAGTAATTGATAATACAAAATAATTTGTTTGGTGCACAAAGGGGGTTTCTTGTATTTCCAAGTAAGTGATGATACCAACATATAAAATAGAAGGAAAATATATAATGGATTTATACATTTTTTATTTAACATTTTTGGTGAAAATAAAGAAAAAAAACTGTATACTTTCCCAAATAGGCAGTTGTTTAATGCTTATCTGGGGTTTTAGAGTGGTAGGTTTTAACATAATATATCTTGTTTTTTTTTTTTTTTTTTCCAAAGGATGGGTTTCTCACTCAAGACCAAGATCTCCCTTATATGGTTGCTCCCTCATGCATGAGATATCATTGGATTAGTGATCTGTTTGCGCTCACTCCCAGTCAAATTCACATTTCAGACCTGTGTTCTTGGGTTAGACTTAGATTGAGTTTTTGCCAAAATTTGAATATATCTGACTTGAATTCTGAACCTGAAGCAGTGTAAAATGTTCATGGCTAAGTCTAAACCCAACCCCAGCCCATGAATAAGTCAGTTTTCCTACAGCTTCATTATAAATAATGATAAGTAGATTTGTCAAAATTACATACATAAATAAATATAGACATAAATTATTAACACAAAAAGATTGGTCCAATGTTTTAAAAATCAACACAGAACACAAACCGCTTTGGTCACTGGTTTTTGAGTTAGTGGTTTGACCATTTGGTTTGAATGAAGGGCCCCTTCCAATTACAAAAAATAATTAAAATAAAAATGGACAAAACTATTGTCTGGGTCAAATGATGAACGATTTGATCACCAGGGTCAGTGGGTCACTAATTAAGTCAATAATTTTTGGCCAAAGAAAAGATTAAGTGTGAAATAGAATCAATTGCCTAAATAATTCTCGGACTGAATGATCCGACCGTCTGGGTCAATGAAGGTTTCAAAACACTGGATGGATATACTTGTAAGGGGGTACCGGGGTACAAGTTGGGCCGAATTGGGTTGAGCATTTGTCAAATTCCGAAAGGGCCCGAATCCAATGCAGTTGAAATTCTTTAAATTAGGTAACCCACTTTGCACCCTATTGTCGTGGTATAGGGAACAATTCAAATGGCCTAAGAATCTTCCACATGGCCAACTTGAGTTGAGGCTAACCTTGGTTCGGGGTAGGACTGACTTACCTTGCCACGGTTGGGCCTGGGTTGACCTCAACCTGGCCCAAATTTCACCCTTAAGCCATGCTAACTTTCTGAGGAAGCACCAGCTTTACACTATCCACAGCACTACACTGTAGGAGTCAACAAGGTTCGATTTGCAGAGAGTCCACTACTTGGACGTTCTGGATCGAATTCAACTAGTGTAAAACGCGTCGGTTGACCGATCATGGTCGTCCCTCAAGCGGCTGATCCTTCACTCCACCGTACAAGAGTTTTTAGTAAAAAAAAAAACCTAGAAGCAGACAAAAATCTAATATTCTTTTCTAATTTCCACTTTGTTGGCAGGAAAAACAGTGAACACCAACAGTCCTATCTCCTATGTACTACTCTCTTCTGCAAGGCTTGATTCTTTCAACTACCCTTAGATCCATCGGTCACCCCTACTGAGCATCCAATCCAACGGATTAGATGCTCAGTAGATCCATTACGACAAAGTCCTTAATCTGTCGATAATAGCAGCTGGATAACGATTCCAATCTAACGGTTTAGGCATGGACGGATATCGTCTGTGGACCCATGACTACAAACTGTATGTCGTCGACTTAGCCATTCCGCGTTGGCAACAGTCAAACTGTCAAAGCCGTTGAAAAAAGAACAGGAGCACTGGAGCAGTGGCAAGATTGTAATTAGAAAGGAATGCAAGTGCATTTTTGAATTGTGGAACTCTACCAAACTTTTCTCTCCTCTTTCACCACGAGGACCAGGGGCTGGAGCTCTGCTTTGCTGCTGCTGCTGCTCTCTCTCTCTGCTACTGACATACTGACAGAGAAGAAACAATAAACAAAGAAAAAATTTGTTTTTTTAACTGAGAAAAAGGAAAAAAAATGGGTCTTTGAAAAGTGCGAAAATTTCAGCAGAAAAGGGCGTCTGGACTCTGGAGATTGGAATGATCTTAAAACGTCACCAGCCTTCTCTCTTCTTCACTCTCTCGCCTGAAAACAAAAGATCGAAGTTCGAGGTGGGTTGCTCGATCGAAGTTTGTAGAGATAGAGGTAGAGTGAGAAGCAGTGGAGTGATCAATCGCAGCAAAGAGGCAATTTATTAAAAAGAGGGAAGAAGGAAGTCAAAAGAGGCGTTTTGATCTCTAACGTTGGGGGTTTAGGGTTTTCCCAATGTCATTTCGTGGATTTTGACATCTCAGTTGGGGTTGGATTGCTGTGAAGTTCGAATATGTTGTTGGCGGTGACGACGATTCTGGTGATCATCTAGGGTTTGTTTTATGTGGTGGGGTTTGTCTTAGGATTTTGTTATGGTTTTCGATGTCAGTGGCTTGAAAAGTTGGTATTTTTTTTAGCTCGAATAGGTCTTGGATTTTAGGGATTTGAGGGTGTTTTTGTTTTATCTGTGGTTGTACGGGGATGATAGTGTTCTGCCGGCCTGTGTCTGTGTGTGAAGGTTAGGGTTCTTTTTGTTTTTATTCTAATTTGTGAATAGTTAATTGGGTGGCGACGGTGGGTTGATCTTCTTGTACCTAGGTTCCGGAGGTTTCTGTTTTATTTGGGGTTTGGGTTTTTGCTTTTGTAGTTTGTATATAAAACTTTTAATTTTTAGTATTGTTACGTGTCTGTGATTGAACGGCTCGTGCAGGGGCTGTGTAATAGTGGGGTTGAAAGGTGTGGTTCTGAGTTTGGCTTCTTGGGATTTTTAGGGTTCTTCTTTGGCTACTAAGGTGCTTGAGGGGTTTAGGATTTTCGTTCGTTGTTTTCTTTGTTTTTGGGGGATTAAGGTGGTGATGATGATGGTGATGTATGGGGAGTAGAACAGCGAGGGCTGGTACAGAAGATGGTAAGGAAGCAGCGGGCGGGATGCCGAGCTTCGTTCCTCCGTTACCCGTTTCTCATGCACTGTAATTTCTTTTCTCCTGTCAATCTCTCTCTCTCTCTCTCTCTCTCCTTTCATTTCTTATTATCCGTATGTGCGTGCTTAATTCTCCAGTGTTGTGATTCTTCTTGTTTTTTTCTATTTTGAACAGATTATTGGTGGAATGTTTCTACTTCTATATGTTATTATTGCTAAATTTCAATTATATGTTTTTTTTTTTTGAGTTTGAATTCATTAGCTTCACTCTTTCTCCATTTCTTTTCAAGTTTTCTGCTTATAGCTGGGATGTACTTGCGAAAATGTTGATCCTTTATTATTATTTTTCCTGTTTTTTGTTCTCTTCTTTTTTTTTAAGATATTATTCTTGCACTTTTTTTTTTGGTTACCAGTGTTGGGAAATTTGAACAGATATGATGTCTTCTATGCAAGTCCATGGGTCCAACCGAAATTAATGAGTTAGATGAGGTTATATTGGTGACAGGAGCCAAACCAAATACCGCCATGTTTAACTGTTTTTCTTGGTGCCATTTAATTTTAGATGTACCATTAAAATGTGATTTTAATAATTTGACTCAGAAAACATTTGAAGCAAATGACTCTATAACTTGAATTTGGTATAAATGAGTTTTCCCCATGACCTATTTCATAATATTTGCCAACAAATTTAATGATGTCAATCACAAATGGTTTGGATGTGAAAGAAAGCCTCTTGGTGGTGGTAACCATAGCACTAATGCACTCTATTATCTTGGGGGATACATTCAGGAAAATGATTGTTCAATTTGGATTTGATGTATTAGTGAACCATCATGACATTGGTGCCTCTTGGTGGTGGTAACCATAGCACTAATGCACTCTATTATCTTGGGGAATGCATTCAGGAAAACGATTGTTCAATTTGGATTGATGGATTAGTGAACCATCATGACATTGGCTATTGCCTTTTTTTCCCTTATAGAATAATTTCCATAGTTTTCAATGATTCCATTTGGTACTGGTTTCAATGTAAAGTCCATTATTCCATTTTATGCTAACAGTAAATTAATGTACTCTCTATAGTTAGTATTAAGGTGGATTTAAAATAAATGAATGCATAAATTTTTATGAGGTGGTAATGAGTTCATATCACAATCCAAATGGTCTGACAAATTCTGATGATGCCAACGTTAAAAATGTTTTCAACGCAAAGAAATGTTATTGCATTTGGTGCTAACTATGAAATTTAATGCACTTTAGCTTAAGTAAATAGGGTTTTAGCACAGTGATGGATTTGCACTAGAGGCTGTTTTGGTAATTGAAATACGATAATTCTGTTGTAGACTTGTAGTAATCATATTTAAGACTTTAATTTTCGAAAATACTTTCTACTGTCAATGTGTCAGTAGCACTTATGTGTGATGAAGCGCTTGGGGTTACCACCATTCAATGGACCTTCTATTCTTAAGGTTCACTTTAGGATCAAATAAATGTTGTGGCTTTATTGTTCTGTGGGTTGAATAGCTTACAGCAGGGTCTTATTTAAGAATGCTTTATAAAGTAATATTGATGGATATTTTGGTTGGGAATACCTTAAGTGCTAACATCATTCTCCATATAAAAACAAATATATAGTTAACAACTCTTATTTTCTGAGTTATGTTCTTGGTAACTAACAGGTTTTGGTGATCCATTGCTTTCAGTGGCATGGATGGAAGTCATGTCCACAATTCTCGAGTATCTGACTTAGGGCCGCTTGAGCAATCCGTTGGATATCGCATAGAGGATGCTGTTGACCTTAGTAGAAGTAAGTATATCCTTTATCCTTGTATGGGATTATCATGAATTCAGGCACTTCCCTTGCTACTGTATCTATCTTTGCCATGTACATGGTATTATTATGTGATTACATTATCCTATCTGGCAGTGATTACTGATGTTATACAAACACACCCTTTCTTGATTTTATTATTATTATTATTATTATTATTATTATTATTATTACTTTGATCAGTAAAAATCTTTCATTAATAACAGAGAGATTAAGATACAATAGCTAAAGATTGCATAGGAAATTGCAATCTCCAGCAATTAGTTACAATTCTGCCCAATACAATGAAGATCTATTTGCCCCTTGTTTTTCTAGGGTATTCGCCATCCCACTTGCATCCCTTTTAACCCAACCAAACTGAGAGTTGAACTTCCTTGCAAGTGTGTCAATTTCTCTGAAAATAAACTTAAGCTTCCAAGGTGCTGATGTGATGTTTTTGGCCCAAGAGATGACCAATAGAGTCTCCTTCAATTTCTAAGTTGGTTGTTCCTATCTGCTCAGCCATCTTTAGACCTTGAAGTAGGGCTAGAGGTTCAGCCTGTATTGAGTCACCATAACCTATTAGTCCAGAGTAGAGTGCCACCACCACACCCAAATAATTTCTAAACACACCCCCTATGCCTGCCCTTCCAGGGTTGCCAAGAGAACTCCCATCAAAATTTTTTGATCAGCCCCTTTCTTGCTTTTATGTTCTTTCCTCATCATGAACACACAGAGAAACTTGAAATAATTTTTTTTGATAAGTTGAAGAATCATGTACATTGGCCATCATTGGTAGTGGGATCTCACCTGTCTCTGCATAAATTTGATACGTGTACTTGTGTTGGGTTGTCTACTGATGGACTGTTACTGACCACTTGTTGAATTGGACTTTATCCCCATTCTTGCAATTTACATTACCTATTTTTTATTCAAAATTCACATTTTAAACAAGTTTTTCTTTTTGGTTAGTGAAATCAATGCCGCTCATGAAGTGGATTATTGGTTGTTGATAAAAATAGTGGATTGTTAATTTGTTATGGATAAAATTAAATGACTATTGGGGGGGGGGACCATTAGTCCTTTACATCTGTTTGTGTTCTAATGGAAGAGTGCCCAGTGGTTGGGCATTGTCCCGCTTTAATATTTTCTGTTGCCATTGCCTTTTCTGCATCTATATAATTTAATGATGAATATGACACTGAACATAATGGAACGGTGAAACAGGATTCATGTAGTCAATCCCATATAGTTGGGACGGGGCTTAGATGATGATGACAATGATGATAATCACCTTTTTTGTTGACGTTATTTGTTATATACCTGATTTTTGAAATCTAAGGAGTTTTTATTTCAATTAAAATAGTGGTTGTGTTATGGTCATTCTGATAGTGTCTTGATTATGCAACTTCAGATTCTAATTTTTTTTCACCCTCTGACACATATCTTGTTGAAGACCCTATATTTAATCCAACCAAGTCAAGTGCACAGGTTGTTGCTTCAGATCCTTTGCAGTTTGGTACTTTTAATAAGGTTAGCCACAAATTTAACTTCAAGCGTATTTGGGATTTGGCAAATAGAAAATACTTTTTTTTTCCTGTCATTTTCTGTTATTCATTCCTAATGGTATTTTCTTGTTTCCATTGTTTCTTGTCTGGGATAATAGTTGGTTCCTTCCTCTGAAATAAATCCATCTCCTGCTAGAGTTGGGACTCAAAGATTGCCTACACAAAAGGGACAACCAAATCTGGTTTCTATATCTAGTGGTCATTTTGAGAATTGGGGAGAGTCCACAATGGCAGATGCCAGTCCTAGGACAGATACCTCAACCGACGTTGATACAGATGATAAAAATCCAAGGGTGAGGCCTCTATTTTTCCTCACGTAAATCATAAATTTTCCTGTAGCTGTTGTTGAAAAGAGATCCTCATGTAATAGAAAGGCTTTATACTTTGCCCTCTAAACTCTCTGTGATACCATTCTAAATGATGCAAACATGTTATATAGACAGACATATGGCATGAACAAGGTATTGGACATTGATTAAGAGGTTTAAGTTTCTGATAGACTGATGCAGACATGCTACCCATTTGAAGATTCCATATGACATGGATGTTCATATGCTTATTTTGAGTGAAAATGTGCAGCTGTGTTTAGAATCTGGGTGGATGTAAAAAACAAATATGCTCCTCTCTAAGTTGGCATAGATACATTTTTTCTGGCTTCCCTACGGATTCCAAAGTCTCCTTTGTGCAAATAGCTTTAGGTTTTTTTGGAGCCATATAACAAATAAAGTAGAGGATCAGCTATTCATTTCTGTTGTCTGGTTCCTTTTCTTCAGTGTTTCAGATACAATTTTATTTCTTCTATTACCATATTTGAGTATATTGCATATGCATTGAATTCTTTTACTTATTAAGATGAGATTGAGTTTTTGATTATCAATGAATTTCATAGATGAGCTATGCCTAATGTTTTAGTAATCCCTTGCTCAGATGGAAATGGGTCAGTCTACTACTGCTGTGGTGGCTTCTGATTCTAGTGATCGATCAAAGGACAAAGCAGATCAGAAGGTTGTATGATAGTTCTTTCTTCTCCTTCCTCTTCAGGAATAATACCTGAGCTGAGTTTAAAGATTTGCATAACTTGTTTGATTGTTATCTGGCAGACTCTTCGCAGGCTTGCACAAAATCGAGAAGCTGCAAGAAAAAGCCGATTGAGAAAGAAAGTATGCTCTTTTTTCATTATTTGCTTTCTTAGCTGGCAGTTGACAGGACTAGAAATTGCATGCTTGCATGTGATTCAATTTGGCACATATTACATCAGAAAACAATTCTATTACCGAAAAAATGAAAAAAACCCAAAAGGGCGCAAAACTTAATATCTATATATTTTCTCCTTGTTAAATTGATCAAGTTTGTGTATATTGAGGTAAGGTTTTGTGCCAATAAAGCTTTGGTTGCTAACTCTTGGGATATAGAGATATAATTATTGTGGTAAGGTATTGTGTTAATAAAATTTTGGTTGTTAACAAGGGGTGCATCGGAATCAGATGTTTTGGGCTGAGCTGTAATTTTTTGCTTTAATCTGAGGCTGCATCTCATGCCTCAACTTGGGAACTTTCTCTGTGTATCTTTTATGCTTTTAATCTATTAATAAATTCACTCATTATTCATCAAAAATTTTTTTTGGTTGCTAACTCCTGGGATACTGAAATTTGAAAAAAGAACTTGCCAGATTGATGGCTGCTTTCTTCCAAAAAAGTTGGTAGTGTCTAGCTAAGGTGGTGGGTGTTGCTGACAAAAACTTCGGTGAGAAAAACACTGTTCCGGTCTTATCAACTGGAGGTGCATTTTGTGTAGCACTTGATGGTGGGGTTATGATCCCCCTGAAAATGATTGTCTTGTTGGGTAGATTCTACATTAATTGAGGCTTGTTTTGGTACCTTATACCTAGATGAGCAGTTTGGTTTTGTGCCAGGAAGATCAATCACAGGAGCCATCTTTCCATTGAGGTGATTGACAGAAAAGTTTAGAAGTAAGAAGAGAGATCTTTTTATGGTATTCATTGATGTAGAGAAAGCATATAATAGAGTCCTTAGAGAGATGATATGGTGGGTTTTGAAAAAGAAAGGAGTTCCATAGGTATGTGGACCTAATATGAGGGTTCGGCAACCAATGTTAGAACATCTGTGCGAGAGACTTCGGATTTTACAGCTTTAATAGGTCTTCACCAAGGCTCTACACATGATCATTGTTTATTTGCACTAGTTATTGGATGAATTTACTAAATGTGTCCATGAGGCATGAGGATCCCATGGTGCCTGTTGTTGACATAGTACTAGTTGAGGATTACATACAAAGTTAGGTTTGAGGAAAAATACCTTAGAGTGGCTACTTCATACAGAAAATGTCAAAAGGTTGGGACTGTGTCCAATCTACCCCTTCCGAGACCCCAGATAGCTGGGACCAACATTGGGTAATGGCCTTTTAATACCTTGGAAACAAGTGGTCTTAAAATGATTAAGACTAAAATAGAATATATGCAATATAATAATAATAGTGTAAACTGTAAATCAGGGTACACTTAGGATTTCAGAGCTGGATATAACTCAATTTGGCCTCTTCCATTGCCTTTATTCAATAATCCGTAATAAAGGAGTGATTGAGACATGTATATATATGTGTACAAATACATATTTTATAAATAAATAACATATAATTATGTTGTAGATATGTTATATGTATTATTTTATATTTAGTTTATGGTTTTTTAATTTAGTTTTTAATTTTTAATTTTTTTACTTATGAAAATATTAAAAATTGGGATTTCCGGCCAAAAAGGTTTTTTCTTTTTTCTTTTTGTAAAAATAGCGGGGCAAGGTGCTTACGGCTCCTTGGGACGCATAGATCTTGAAAAGTTACCAAAAAAAAAAGATCACCCCAATTGGACATCGGAGTGCAAAGTTATGGCCTCTGAAGTTTGCATGCATTGAGTGTGCAACCCGTGACCCGGTGTCCGGGTCAAACAGGTTGACGGTTGAACTGGCCGGGTCAGACGGTTTTTGATCGACTGACGGGTTTTAACAGAACCAGACCCGGAATCCTGGCCAAGTGATGATTCAAATGGTTCAACCGGCTGGGTCAACGGGGGGTTGGAAACACTGGTTCAAACCCTTGACTGTCCACCTCTGCAGAAGCTGAAGAACTTATTCAGGCGCGAAAATGAACATCAAAACAGGACCAAGCCATTGCTCACAACTGATGAGCGAAGCTACAGTGGATGAAAGATTGGAAGATTCAGGAACCTCATTGCATAAAGGACATAAGATACTAGGAATATGCATTCCCCTTCTAATCAGCCTGTCTGAACTCTGAAGTTAGGCAACTGCCATGAGCTACAGTCCAAACCAGGAAGGCTATTTTCGATAGGATGTGAGAGGATTAAAGCCCAAAGGAAATCAAGGTCTTCTCTAGCCGAGATGTTGTTATAGAAAGACTACGTAGAAAAGAAATCTGAGCTCTCCCAAGACCAAAATATTTCATCATCAGCTTGAGGATTAGGTATTATACTTTGAGTGAGGCTTGGCAACTCAGGCATTGGACTGATCTCCCAATCATTGGGATTTCTTCTAAAAGTAGGGCCCCAAATTGCTTCTCCATTCACACAGCAAAACCCCCACACCTTTATCATGCCAGAATTTGATATGATTACCTTTGCCTACTTTGTATCTGATGCCCTTCAGGAAATCGGGAAGAAAAGTAATATGTTACTCCAAAGAGCACAACTCCTTGGGGGGAGACAAGGACCCGAGTCCCAACCAAGGTTTGTGAGCCCATACTTATCTACAATGATCCTTCTCTAGAGGCTAGCTTTAGCATTATTGTGGATATGGGAACAAAGTTGTGGTGCTTTAGGAGTACTATGCTTATGCTACACTAAAAAAATCTTAGCCTTCATACTTAAAATTGTTGATGAACACACATACATCATGCATATGTTGGTTTGGGTCAGATTTCCTGATCCCTCAATCCTAACCGAATCTGAAATTAAGTTGGCTTAGGGGTCCAACTCAATTTGCATTCCCAATGCCTTGAGAACCATGGATGAAAATATCATTTATTTTACCACATGAAAAGGACAATTAGATCAATAAATGATCACAACTAATTGGCAGATTACTACATGATGAATATATTTTTTTAGGAGTACATAGAAGCTTTTAAGTTGTGAATCTTGCAGTTACTGTTACTCGTTGAAGTCTTTGTTGCTCTAAGACAAGTACTCATGGTCCTTGGGTCTTGGCATTGTACTTGTTTAATTTGCATTGATATGGTTTTTGTTCTTAACATTGACTGTGACTTCTATTCATAAAAATATTTTAGATTAGAAGTGGTTTCCCTTGTGCCACACTCGTGGTGCAACCTTATGTTGTGCAGGGCAATCAAAATTGGTAATGTTGCTTATGTTTCAAGAGATTTTCGTGCTTCTTAATGTGAAGTTAAAAAAATGGGAGAAATTTTTTATGTCATAGGCAATTTGGCCATATTTGGATTGGTTGATGTGGCCCGAGTCTGTGTCTCTATGGATATGCTGCTTAAAAGTTGGATGGAGGTGGCAAACTCTGCACCTACTCCATCAATTGCCTGTCCTCTGTGGTCACCACCAACTCTTGGGTTTATAAAGTTAAATTTTGATGGTAGCAGTGAGGGCAATCCAGGGCCTTCAGAAGTAGTTGCAATGTATTCAGGTCCAATTGGGGGTGGTGGCTCTCTCAGAGCTGATATGCTTTAATGGAAGGTCTAAGGAAGATAAAGGAGCTGAATATCCAAAAGCTAGTTGTTGAAGGAGACTCAAAGCTGGTTACAGGACAGTGGAGTCTGGAAATGTGCCAATGAGAGGAGGGAGGTTGGAAGTTCAGATTCATAGGGTGAAGAGAACTGCAAATGCCTTTGCAGATACTTTGGCAAAGCGGGAGGTGAGAAGGGATCAAATGTTTTGGGCTATTTTATAACTCATTTTCTTGTTCTCTTGGGGAGAGCCAAGTCACTTTATTTCTTTAATAAAACGAGTTTCTATTATTGATAAAAAATGTGGCCTCAGTTCTGCACCATCAGTGTTGGTCAAGTCAACTCTGTGAAAACCTCCAGAGATAACATAGATTGGTTGTTTTCATATGAGCTTGTGGGCTCCACGTGAAAAAACCCCATTTTTTCCTGGGAAATGCTCAGACACAGGAAAATCATTGGAAGGCCTTATTTACGTGTTTTGATTTTTTTGTTTACATTTCTTATATTTATGCATTTTTTTCCTTTGTTTCCCATTGTTTGGGTTATTTACTTATTGTATTGACACTATTCTGCTTTGTTTTTTTGTATTGTTAAGGCATATGTCCAACAGCTAGAGAATAGCCGGCTTAAACTGACTCAACTTGAGCAGGAGCTCCAACGAGCTCGCCAGCAGGTTTGATTTTATGATCTATTTCATAATCTCTGGTTTTAGTTTTAAAATTGAGATCAGTATTGGCAGATTCAGTTGTCATTGACTTTACTCTTTTAATTCTTATCCTTATTGTAGGGAATATTTATTTCAAGCTCAGGGGACCAATCTCATTCAATGAGTGGAAATGGTATTTCTTTCTTCTCTCCTCTTTTCTATTTCTGCCTACATTATCTTTCCTCAGTTGTGTTTTGAAGACTGGGATATTTGCTGAAGTTCATCAATGTATAAATCGTGTGCACAAGTTTCTTCTGTTTCTATAATAGTCTTGTGTATGCCTTAGATGCAAAAAGCTTCAGAAATAAAAAATGGGTTTCTGGATTTTACCAATAAAGAAGATTTTCCGGTTTTAGACCTGCTGTATTATGGTGACAAACTCAGGGCAAGCAGCAGTTGCATTGGGAACTCATCTCTACATTTGGATTAAATACATGAAAACAATGAAAAATGGGCAACAGTTATTTATAACAGAATGCAGTTATATATATATATACAGAGAGAGAGAGAGAGAGAGAGAGAGAGAAATCCTTTGTTTGCAGTTATAGCTATTGTTTCATGCAAGTGATTTTTCTATTGATTAAATTGTTCTATAGGGGCTTTGGCATTTGACATAGAATATGCACGTTGGCTGGAAGAGCACAATCGGCAGATCAATGAATTAAGGAATGCGGTAAACTCCCATGCCAGTGACAGTGAGCTCCGTATTATTGTCGATGGTGTTATGGCACACTATGATGATATTTTCAGGCTTAAGGGCACCGCAGCCAAAGCTGATGTTTTCCACATACTGTCAGGCATGTGGAAGACTCCTGCAGAGAGGTGCTTTTTGTGGATTGGTGGCTTTCGTTCTTCTGAACTTCTTAAGGTGACAAATAGTTCCTAGCTGGTTTCCATTCCTTTGTCATGATTTCTGCAACTGCAACTAATTGCGATTGTTTCTCCACCGCCCTAGATTTGCAGGAATTAATTATTCTGTTTCTCTGCTTCTTTTACTGCCTAAACCATGTGGTTAACAAGTAACCGTATGTAGTTGACGACATGGTTCATATGGATTGTGTGTAGCTGCTCCTCTTCTTGGTTTATTACATAATTGCCTGATTTGCAGTGGGGGTGATCATTCTTGACCCGGCTTGGCCTGCAATAAATATTATAGTTTAATAATATATATATGTATATTATATAGTATGTTTATATTGTAAAATATTATATTATGTTTTATACATAAAAAAGTATATATGTTTATGCTGCTATAAAACAAATTATCTATGTTTAAAATTATATATATTATATCTATGTTGTATGTATTTTATATGTTATATGTACAAATATATTTTATTTTATATTAAATATTTTATATAGAAATTTTACTTATGAGAGTTGTCCTCCTCACCCTTTTCTTTTACCATCTTCTCTCTCTCTCTCTAAGTTTCTTTCGTGAAGGTCCAATACCATATACATGGTTTCAGAGCAGGTCTGGTCACTTTAGAAGAGATTATGGACCTGATCTGTTGCTATTAGGATGGGCTGAGGGGGGGTTCCACTCCATCGTAGTCCGGTATTTTTGGTTCCTAGGTGATGAATTCGTGTGGGTGTGAGTTTAAGACTGTAATTTTACTTTGAAGCATTCATTGTTGAGATTCTCATCTTTTACATCTCGTTCTCTGCAGTGACAAATTGAGGAGAAGATCTTTGATCCATTTATTTTGTTTAGTTATAGGTACTTTGAGTGATTGAAGAGTGATATGTGTGTTGGTGTTGCTATAGTTTAAACCCTCTATTTGAAATTACCAAAGAGGGAAGTGCCAGAAGATGTGGTGAACAGGGCTTGATGATTTGTGTTGATGGTGACTAGGTTGGTATGTTGAATGGTAGTGTGGTGCTATTCTTTTGACTTTATTATTATTGCTGAAATTGTGGGTGATTGTTTAAAGGAATCATGGCTGCATTCAGGAGTAAAAGGGATTAAACCTAGTGGCTAAGATTTCTTCTGTGCTGGTTATCATTTTTCTGCCAGCTAATTCTCTAATTGGCCCTTGTTTCAGTTTGATATTAAAAATGCTTGCCTTCATGGTGACTTGCAGGTAGAAGTTTATATGGAGCAACAACTTGTTTGTTGCTTAGGAGGAGCATAAGGTGTGTTAGCAGAGGAAAGCGATATATGTGCTTTAGGCTGTGTTTGGTTGAAATTCAATTGAATTTGCACTGATGCAATGGCAGTGCAAATGATTTGAGTGTAAATTCTGACCTATTTTTGTTTCCAATTTTAGCTTATTTTGTTTGGTTGCAGTACAAATGAAGTAAATTAAGACATGAAGCAGAATAAAGTAAAATCCAAAACAAAACTAAACGAGAATTTGCATTTTTTACATTTGCACTCCCATGCATTTGTACTAGTACAAATAAAATTGCACTGCAACCAAACACAGCCTTAGTAAATCACCGTATCCGGTGTCCTTGGTTGGGGAGGTGTAATGAAGTGGTGAAGCAGTCTGATTTGAGGCAATGCAGAGTGTATCACTTGGTGTTTAGTTGTAATATGACAGTTGGGGAGATAATACTGGTGGTTTATGTTGATATTTTCATCATTGGAAGTGATAACCAAGGGACTGAAAAAATTAAATAATTTTGAGGGAAGATAACTGATTTCATTAAACCAAAAAAGGGAGGGATGTACAAAGCCTATTCTGCACAACAAAAACAAAAGACAAAGCCCTCTAAAATGGCAAAGTATGAGTGCTATACAAAAAGTCCCTTCCCAGCCCAGATTTAGCTAGGCTATCAGCCACTTGATTTAGTTCTCTAGGAATCCATCTAAAGCTGCAATGTAAGCAAGAGGCAAGCTCCCTGATTTCTAACAGCCGATGGGATAACTTCCCTAGATCCAGAGTCTGTCTGTCCTGAAGCCTAATTAATGACATTTCTCGAATATCCTTCCACTGCAATGAACCATAGCTGATGTGATTTGGCTATTCTGAGACCTTCCAAGAGGGCCCTTTCCTCTGCTTCAGAAGCATCAGCAGCCTTGGCTGGGCCACTATAGGAGAGGTTGCCATTGGAGCAGGTCAATTCCTATGTATGCCATTCTGGCTGATACCCTCAAAAGCTTTGTTATTCATCACCCAGCTGCCAATGTTGGTCAGGGTACGATCTCGAAGAGTCTCCAAGGAGGAGTAGCTCTCATCAAATAATCTCCTATTTCTTTCCTCCCAGATATTCCACATAAGAGCATGAACAATTGCTTTCCAGAAGCAGCTTCCTCTCTTGCCCGAATTCGGCTTTAGCCCTTCCCAAGAGTTGATAAACTCTGTAACAGAATTAGGGGGAGTCCAGCTGAGATTTCTCCTGTCTAAGGAATCAAGAAAGAACTGTCAAAGACTTCTGGCCACAGCACAGTTAATAAACAGGTGACCGATAGATTTGACAACATTTTCAGAGTATGGACCCTGGCACACTGCTATTTCTTGGGCATTGAGGTGGCTTGTTCAATTTTCCAAATATGGCGTTAGTCTATGTTAGATAAAAGCATGTGCTTGATATTCTTGATGAGACTGGGCTTTTGGGTTCCTGACTAAAGAGGAACTATATGACAATCCAGGAAGGTACATAAGACTGGTGAGCAAGTTAAATAATCTATCACTAGGCCCAATATTTCATTTGTTGTTTGTTTATGCAGAATCCTTAGTTTCTTCATTGGGAATCTATGATTAGATTAGTCAAATTTTTGAAGGAATCTCTGGGCCATGGGCTTGTTGTATAAGACAAATGGTCATTTGGAAGTGGAAGGTTATACTTATGTTGACTGGGCTGGTTCTATTGGTGACAGGAGATTAACTGCTGGGTATTTTGTTGGTGGCTACCCTATCGTCACTTGGAAGGAAAAGAAACAAGGTGTGTGGCACGGAGAAGTGCAGAAACTGAGTATAGGGTGATGGTACATACTACATGTGATGTGAGCTGGTTTGGCTCCAATATTTCATTCAGGAACTTGCGTGCATGGTTCTAATCATGTATCTATACTCTCGATATGCAAAATTTCAGGAATTTGCGTATCAAGAGTTCTGTTCAACTGAAACTCTTGTTTTTTTTTTTTTTCCTTAATTTTTTGATTTCTTGTCCATACAGATCAATATCAAGTTATTTCACTAAACGAATAAGATATGTCAAACCTTAATATAAAGTGTTTCAGTGAACAATAGATACGATACACCCGATATGGAGCGTGAGACTTTATTGTGACAACCAAGTGGCATTTCATATTACTTCTAATCCAGTGTTCCATGAAAGAACAAAGCCCATTAGAAACTATTGTGATTAAACATGATTGGATGATGCCATGACGGTATACAAAATAGAAAAAAAGCATGAAATAGAAGAAGGCAATGGAGCTCTTTTAAGTTTTCTTCCAAGTCGTGGTTTGTTGGTTTGGAGTTGCCACAAAGAATGACATGCCAAATGCTCGAGGTTGCACTCTTTCTTTGAAAAACAAAGGCTCCAAACTAATTGTTCAATATAATTCTATTCTTGCAGAGCTATGGTTTATATTATTTTTGAGACTGCATCAACACCTTAAATTTAGAATATATCTATTTTATTAGTCAGCGCCTGGACACCATGACCATTGTTTTGAAAACTGTTCCGGTCTGGACATTTGGACTGGTTGACCCAGGGACTGGTCACGAGTCCAGGTCCGGTTTTGGACCCCAAAACCATCCGATCCGGGTTTAGACCAGATGGTCAGACTGTTTGATCTGGGAACCAGTGGCGAAATCCATTGAGGCAAGCCCAAACATGCCCATGCTAGGGTCTAGAATTAGGCTAATGCAATTAGAAAAAAAATGAAGAGATTGAAAGTTGCACATTCATGAATTGTGCAGTGCCTGAATGTGTTTTGTATGTTCAATTTTATTTTTACATTTTAACTTTGAATGTGTTTTATGCAAGGTTCAAAGTATCGATACAATACGAGTTTCGGCTGTATCGTATCGGTACTGTGTTTTTTTAACTTTGAATGTGTTTTTTTTTTCAAATTTTGTTTTTTTGGGAAGCTTTTAGCATGCTTTTTATTATTAAAAAAATTGGGTGTCTAAAACACCTGGAAACAGGCGTTTTGGACCGTATTGTTTTCAAAAGATACGATACGGTACACCCGATACGGGGCGTATCGTATCGATACTTTGAACCATGGTTTTATGTGCAATATTTATGTATTTTAATACTAGTTTTATATGTTTTAATTTTTTAGCATTTCTTGTTTTATTTTTGAAATTGAAAAACTTGTGCACCTCACTTAAAAAAACATCTGGCTTGCCTTGTGCCTTGTGCCTCAGGGGCAAAAAATCCCCTTATGTTTTTTTTTTTGGCTGCTTGCACTTTTAAAACACTGGTCCACTGAGATCTTGTAATCGTGCTGGTTGGGTATAATAATTTCCTTATTTTATGTAGCTTCTGATGTGGGATACTCTGCTTGAATCTTAATATTCCTTGGTATAATAATTTCCTTATTTTATGTAGCTTCTGATGTAGGATACTTTGCTTGAATCTTACATATTCCTTGATTTAATGTTGAGACCCTTTAGGTGTTTACTGTTAAGAGGTTTTGTTTTTTATTAAGATCTGCAGGGTTCTTGTTGTAACTTGTAAGGGAAGAGTTAGCATTTAATGTGGTGATTTAATTGCGTTTTTTCATGGATCTTCTGTGGATATGAAGTGGCTAGATTCAGACTAAGATTTCTATGTTGCTTTTTTTAGATGGTTGAGCCTATGTTGTGCATTGAAATTTTTAGGTCTTGGTGACTATTATTTCCATATTTATACATCTTCTAGGAAGAATCTAGATGAATTTAGTAGGGAAGACTCCACTTTTGAATTGATACCATTTATCTGCTGTTAATTGTCTTTTAATTTTAATATAATTTTCTGGAATTTCTTCTTTATTAGAGAAGTTCTTTGGGTAATTGAGTCTTAGACTGGGAAATCTTTGTTTTGGCAAGGATTAGTTCATAGCCTTATTCCTCTTCTTCAAAAGAGTTGATGTCTGGAAGTTGGGATCTGTATGCATATCTGTTTTGAATTTTAATATATTTGGTTGGTGCATTTTTTTTTTTTAGTTATGGTTTTCTTGATTGAGAATAGGAAATTTGTTAATGAAGACAAGAGAAGGCAAACTATCAAGGCCCAATCAAGGGGGTGTCAGACCATACACACAATCATATAAAATTGCAAAGAAAGCTGTTTTTCTTTTCTGTCTTTTCTGATAATTCTGTATTTCACTTTGTCTTAGTCCTGCTTCAATGTTGCAAGATGGCGTTGAAAACTTTATATACAGTTGGCAATGTTGTGTTTTGTTGGTTCTCAATTTCTCATAGGATGAATCCAGTCCTCTTAAAATTTGCTAATGCTAACTTAATGTGGGATTGGAATTTGAATTTTAATTCTTCTAGTATAATTCTTAATTGTTATACAAAACTCGCATGTTGCAGCTTCTTGTGAATCAATTAGAGCCTCTGACTGAGCAGCAGTTGGTGGGCATCTGCAACTTGCAGCAGTCTTCTCAACAGGCTGAGGATGCCTTGTCTCAAGGAATGGAGGCATTACAGCAGTCCTTGGCTGAGACGTTGGCCAGTGGGTCTCTTGGCCCTTCAGGTTCGGGGAATGTTGCCAACTATATGGGTCAGATGGCAATGGCTATGGGAAAGCTAGGAACCCTTGAGGGTTTCCTTAGGCAGGTAATCTCTCCTATTTGTTTTACTGCTGCTGCTTTTAAATCCATGTATTCCTTTTGCAGTCCAATATAGTTTGCTGCTTCCTTATTTCATTTTTTGTGAGGCCTGCCTTACATCTGTTGTTCTTGGTGGGTTATTTATCTCACTTCAAATGTTCCTGTTACCGTTGTACAATCTATAATGCATGTGCAACTTTATCGTGGCCAATTCTTTTAATGTGACACTTAGCCAAGGTTGTTTGTGAAAATTTTAAGCTGGTCCTACAAACTGGAACATGGTGAAAGTGTCACAGCTTTGAGAACTGAGAGCTGAGTGCATCCAAGCCAACAATTCCCTACAGCTAAACATGTCAATGATACATGGATATAAATTAGTCAAGATATAGTTATGTAAGGATAAACAAAGACAATAGAACAGGTCATTGGTATTGTTTTAGAATGGCAAAATGACACATGGCAGAAAAATTATGCCTCTCTCTCTCTCTCTCTCTCTCTTCCCCCCCATAGCAGTAAAGAGATGCATCTAATCATTTATCACAATGGTACTTAGCAGCTTATACAATAAGAAGTTAGATCTCATTGGACAGGAAGCAGAAGCTTATACAATAGAACAGCTCATTGGATTTCATTTTAGAATGACAAAATGGTACATATCAACAAAGAGATATAGCATCCAAAGATACATTTTTCTCTTTCCCCCTCTCTCTCAACATCTGACGTGATACATAGCAGCAAATACATGACTGGATGTAAACATCATAGCAGTACAGCTAACATCATAGCCCCTTGCTATCAACATTTCAACCTCAAAAATACAGCTAACATCATAACTAGGGGTGCAGCTTGGGGCAGGTTGGGTTGGATTGAGGGTCATCACAGGTCTCAAACTTAGGGCTCGGGACTTGCCCAACTTGTAGTCAAGCCCAAGTTTACCAACCCAGGCCCAACCTGACCCCAACCCAACACATCTTAGGCTGGGGTCAATCTCGGGTGGGTTGGTCAGGTTTGTAGGTATTTTTTGAATGTAATTCATCTTTCATTGGGCTTTGTAGCTCAATTTCTGGCTAGAATAGATTGAAAATATGCACAAATGTCATTAATAAGTGCATATATACATAATTCATATATGTATACATGTAGATTTACAAGTAAAAAAATATATTTTTATATAAATAAAATGCATAACATGTATTCGTATTTTTATATGCTTATGCATGCATGTGAGTTTAAACTAATCATATACATATTGTAAATAACTAAATAAAGTTTTGGGTGTATATGTAATATACATACATACATACATACATGTTATAAATACATAACAGAATATACACATGTAGATGTGTATATCATAAAATGTCAGGTGGGTTTCAGAGGTCTCAACCCAAGCTCAGCCTGAGTTTTCTGACCCAGGACCAGCTTGAGTTCCAAAAACTCAAGCCTTATCCATGCAAAAGCTTGGGTTGGACCTGCTTATGTTGCATCCTAATAATATTATAATAAAAGTAAACTAACCATAAGTACAGCTAAGATCATAGCTAACCAGAAGTACAGGTAATGACCCAAGTTAAATAAACAGATCACAAATAGAGGTTGGACAGTCACCAGTGACTTCTAACAAGTTGCAAGACAAGCACAACCAAAGGATGCAGCATAAACCAACAATGAAGACTGTAAAAGGAAATCATTAAAGATTAAACCTGATGAGCCTCAATTGAGGTGAGACAATCACCAAATACTCCACTACATGATAACCATAATTTCTTTTATGGTGGTGATTGGAAGCACAGTCCAAACCTGCTGTTACTCTTCCTTCCAAGAGGTCGTTCATGCAATTTCTCTGGTTATATTTGATCTAGTAATATGATAATCATACTTCCCGATTAACTCTCCCAAATATTTTTTTTGATCAGCAAAAGGATAATTTATTAATTTTAAATAACTTCCTCAAATAATTGATGGCCTCAACCCTCTCAAATGATAGACATGATATTTCAATACCAAACCTAATGGATAAGATCATATGATGAAGATTTCTTGGAAAAATAGAATGCGAAGTCTTAATAAAATTGACTCAATACTCAAATTTTCTTTTAATTGTCTATTTTGTTTCACTAAGTTAATGTATGAAACCAACGATGTAGCATAATTGTGCTGCAAAAATATTCATCATTATAAAATTCACAATTGTGTTTCTTTTCCTCCTTTCTGGGGAGTTTATCAGAGAGATATGTCTCCCTCCCTCCCTCTCTCTCCACATAGCAGAAGATATATCAAAGAAACTGAACCATATCTCAAGAGATGCATATAACTGAAGTGGATCAAACAGTAACAACTGAAGAAGCAAAACTAAATAGTGCTTTGTTGACCAAGAAATTATAGTAAACCACATAAATATTAAGTAAGAATTAGGAATCTGAAATTAGTACTTTTTCAGATTGCAGAGGCTGTGCAAGTGGAATAAATTGGTTCTAAAATAGAGAAATCACAGGACATTGAGAGAATGTGCAGATGAGAAACAAGTTCCAGATTTCAATATAATAAGTATAAAAAGTGATGGATGCAGACAAATGCTGGAAACCAGATCACTGTGGACATAGATTACTAATTAGCACTAGAAGCATGATAGCACCAGAGTATAGTGATGTTGATGATAGAAAAATCACAGAAGGAAAAAGTACAGAAGTGTAGAAAATTCGAGGATAAAATATCACAGAAATTGCAGGAGGTATACTGGATTGTGTTTTGGAATGGTAGAATACTGATATGATTCATTCTATTGCCAATTGGCATATTTATATAGTAAGCTGCTGCAATAAATAGAAAGAAA